CATGGATTTTGAAAAAACCGATAATCTTGCCGGCGGGATTGAACCTTGACCTTCGGACTAGGAGACAAGGCCCTTAGCCAGTCGGCTGGCGCTACGCTAGAAACTCACGTTCAGAAGACCGGGTTTTTAGCTCTCTTTCTTTCTTGTGTTTGTTTTTGTTCTTGCTTTTCCTCCTCGATCAACAAGGCACCATAGCTCAGTGGTAGAGCGTCTGGCTGGTAAGCGGAGGGTTCTCCCAGAGAAGCTCGAGGGTTCAATTCCTCCTCAACTCTTTTTCATTAATTTCTTTACTTTATTTTCTTTTTCTTGTATGAAAATATTGACTTTTTAATTGAATTCAAAGAAAAAAAGATATGATTTGACTAAAGTACAACAAAGACAACGGTAGCGTAAAAATACAGCAAATACAACGGCAAAAAGACCGCAATCAAATCAGTGACGTTGAGTGTGGTAGATGCTATTTGTTTACCATTTTCGAGGGTAAAGTCCATCCTGTATAGTTCGTCAGAGGGGCTTCATAATATCAAAATTGAAAGGATCAAAAGATTGAGGAGAAAGAGAGAGAGAGGGAGGGAGAGAGAAATTTTGATGAGTCAAGAGAGAACTTATTTGAAATCAAAAAACAGAAAAGAAAACAGTCATCACTTTCAACAAAAGAAGAGAAAAGAAGAGAAAAAGAAGAGAAAAGAAAAAGAGAAAATGAAAGAGAAATGAAAAATATCTCTTTCCCACAACAATGGGATAAATAAAATGAAGGGGGAAATTTCAAGGAAAATCGGAGGGAAATTTCACTTGGGATACCTTTAGAGCCACACCCCAACAACAAAGACGATATTTATTTGAGCGAAATTCCTTGCTTCGAAAATTTCACCAAAATAATCGTTTTGTTGTTGGGGTTGATGTCTGTATTATCTTCTTAGGAATTTGTTAAACTTTCACACATTTAGACGAGATTTTTCAAAAGTTAAATCAAGTCTTTATCTTTAAATTTCCTCTATTATCAATAAATCAGTTAACGACTACGCGACTGTACGCAAAAATGACTCTCAACGACTACGCCAATGTACGCTAAAATACTGCTTTTCCAGCTACTAGCTGGCGCAAATTGATCTTTAACGTCTTCCTTTATCATTTCATTGTCTTATTTCCGATCGGTCCCCATGGCGGCTGTGGCGCAGTGGTGAGGGAAAATTTCGATAGCCCACACAGTCCGGGTTCTGATCCCCCGCACTGCCATTCAATGTTTTTTATTTTCAATTCCATAGCTATATTGAATTTTTAGCTTTTTTGATTCGAAAATGGTTGCGAAAAGTCGGACAGCAGACAATTACTATACTAAATTTGTGAATTTCAGTGAAATGCTCTTTGATTCTCTCATATTTTCTTCTATTCTTTGTCCGATTTTCGAATTGTTGCTTTGCTTGTGGAGTGTGCCAACCGGGCCTCTGCGGCCGCCACAACCACCACCAACGCCGGTGAGTTTTCTAGAATTTTACAAGATTGACTTACCCCTTGGAATCAATGATAGTTTGGCATCTTTGGTATTGATGTGGAATTAAAAATCAGTTTTGAAACAGTTTTGAGTTAAGCCGGGTATTTCTTTTCTTTCTCTTCCTTTCTCCTTCCTTCTTCCTTTCTTTCTCTTCCTTTCTCCTTCCTTCCCTTCCTTTTCTTTCTCTTTCCCTCCTTGCATCCTCTCTTTCTTCGGTCACTAGGATACCAAATAGCCTCAGTGGTTAGAGCATCTGCTTGAGCAAGTCAAAAGATCGAAGTTCGAAGTCGAAGTTCAACCCTCTCCGAAAATTTCGGGAAGAGCTCCGCTTTTTGTTTTGTCAGATGTGCGGCGGTTGTTCTCAAGGGCGCGGATCGTACGGTTGTTATCGGATGAGGGCAAGAGCCAGGATCATCGAAGACTCTCAACCTTCAAGAGGAGGGAGGAAAAGGGGGAGAGAAAAGTAGCAAGCAGTCAGCCGAATGCTAAATTAGTGCAGGGAATTTGCACAAAGTACAGTACCTGATTCGCTTAAAGGATTTGAGCCTTCAGTTGTTTAGACCTAGGTACTGCCTTAGATTACTGTAGCTTCTAGCTAGCTTCTAGATTACTGGTAGCTTCTAGCTAGCTTCTAGGACTATTGTAGCTTCTAGCTAGCTTCTAGATTGTAGTTTAACTAGCTTAGATTACTGTAGCTTTCTAGATTACTGTAGCTTCTAGCTAGCTTCTAGATTATTGTAGCTTCTAGCTAGCTTCTAGATTACTGGTAGCTTCTAACTAGCTTCTAGATTACTGTAGCTTCTAGCTAGCTTCTAGATTATTGTAGTTTAGCTAGTTTCTGTGATTACTGTAGCTTCCTAACTAGCTTTCTAGATTACTGTAGCTTCTAGCTAGCTTCTAGATTATTGTAGATTACCCAATATCCTTATTCATAAATTTCAGCGTGCCGCTTTGATCCGCTTGAGTCCCGACGAGAAATCTTTGAGCGTTGTTGTGTCGAGCGGAATCTGCCCGACTCGTGCATCACGAAGTGCTCGTATCAAAGTTATAATGAGAATGGCTTTACAGGTAAAGGCTTTACAGGCGTTACAGGCTTTACAATATATTGTTGTTATATTGTTACAAGTTACCGTAACTTTACAGAACATGTACTTCAAGTTAGATGCGTGTCCGATGCAAGCTGCAGCTGATATTCACTTACCAGCAGCCCAGGTGCCACTTAGCCCATAAATAGTTGTAAACATGCCCAATCTGGCACACTAAACGCTTGATTCTTTTTACGGAAATGCACTAGGAAAGGGTGTGTTTGCATAAAGTTTCTACAAAGTACAGCATTTTCAAAGACTTTTTTTTCAGGGTAAAGACCACAGCACTTGTTGCTTTCAAAATGGAGCGACAACGACATTAGCTGGGTCAAAATGTATGACATTCTGTGATCAGGTGAGGAAATGAATTCTAAATTATATCAATAAAACTTTATGCAAATTGCAGCGTCCCGGTCACATCACTCAACTTGACATCACCTATTTGGCATGCTATGATCGATTCGAGAGTATGAAGAGTTCCTTCTACTATGAAATGAGTAATGGTTTGTGATTTTGAATCTATTAATTGCCGTATTTTCTGTAATAGTAGTGGAGTCTGGAATAGTAGTGGAGTCTGGAATAGTAGTGGAGTTCCTGGAATGGTAGTGGAGTCTGGAATAATAGTGGAGTCTGGAATAGTAGTGGAGTCTGGAATAGTAGTGGAGTCTGGAACAATAGTGGAGTCTGGAAATGGTAGTGGAGTCTGTAATGGTAGTGGAGTCTGGAATAATAGTGCTGTCTATAGCCAGTAGTGCAGACTGGAGGATTGAAAGCAAGTAGTAGTGCGCACTACTATTACAGAAAATACGGTACTTTGATTTTAATGAGTGATGCTTGACAATGTTTTGTCAAGCATCACTTAAATTTTGAGCATTACGGTAATCAGAAAAGAATCTCAAAGTCCTTTTACAATAGTCCTTGCTAAAAAAATCTTTGCAGTCCGAAAGCCTGGCTTCTGATTTATAATCTCAGAGCAATTGGAGTTCTGGCCTCGTTTGTGAAATGGTTTAAAGTCATGTAATCTTTTTTTTTCTTGTAAAATAATCTGCAAGCTTTAAATTGAACCTGAAAAAAGAGGTAGCTTGCTCTAATTGAACAAAATCGGCCTCTTTTAGTTTACAAGGGGAAGATCAACTCGATCTGTTGACCAAATGACAAATGCCCAAATACTATTTAACACAGAATTTCACGCTGATTCCGAATCTGCTTTCCGTTTTGCAACGCAGCACTCTATCGGAAAGATATGAGCGTCCAAAGTTTTGTATGGAATTCCTGAGAATTATAAATTGACAATTTATGTTTGTCAAAAGGGAGAGGTTTAGTGGTAGCCGAGTGGTATTGGGCTTGAATACGAAGGAAGATTTCTAGGGTTCGGAGAGCAATTTCCAAGCCATATTTGTACTCATTAACACTATTTGTAAGTCAAACCCTGCTTAGAGGCATGGCCTGGTCGGGCCTCCAGATCCAGGCCAGGTTCAGCCTCCAGATCCAGGCCTGGCCTAGCTTCCAGATCCAGGCCAGGTCTAGCCTCCAGATCCAGGCCTGGCCTAGCCTCCAGATCCAGGCCAGGCCTAGCCTCCAGATCCAGGCCTGGCCTAGCCTCCAGATCCAGGCCAGGCACAGCCTCCAGATCTGTGTTTTTGGGCCAGGCTTTGACTTTGCTTAAAGCCTTTACATTTCTCTCTCTTTCTTCTCTGGCAAGAAGATATCGAATAGCTCAGTGGTTAGAGCATCTACCCGGAAAGGAAAAACGTCCAGGGTTCAATTCCTCCCGGAAATCTCTTTATCATTTCTTTCCATTTTCCATTCATATTCTCATTCCATTCTCATTCTATTTCTTCTCAAAACATGAAACTTTTCAGGTAATGGTGCCAACGAGCCACCAGTGTCGATTCCAGCTGATCCGCTTCTCGCCGAGAACAGCCAAAATGTTTTTCAAATCAAAAGAACAAAGTGCAAGACCTCGTTTGGAAAATCTTTGATGAATAGAGATCCGTCAATTGGTGGAGAATTAGAAATTGAGGATTATGACAATGACAATGTTTCGGGTGAGTGCTATGCGATCCTCTTCACTTCTTTAGCTCGTAGAAATCTTGACTTTGATCAAGATCTTTAACTAAACTAAGCCTCGAACTAACTCCTGAGTAGGCTAGGCTCGAAAACCGCTTTTCACACATCACTGAATTAAAAACCGAAAAGATTGGTGGAGAATCAGAAATTGAGGATTATGACAATGTTCTGGTGAGTGCTATGTTGCTGACAATGTTGCTAAGTTATCCTCTCCACTTCTTTCTTGCTCGTAGAAATCTCTGTCGAAAAGTTTAGATAAGAAAATCTGACAAATAAAATGCATTTGAAAAGAGTTTTGATAAGAATACCCGATTGTTTTTTCTAAAAGATAGTGCAAAGCTTGAAAAGTGATTTAACAAGGACTTGAAAAGATAGAGATTGTATTTTCAGAGATTGTACAGAGACAAACAGACTTGAAAAGACAGAGATTGTATTTTCAGAGATTGTACAGAGACAGACAGACTGGAAAAGACAGAGCTTGTATTTTCATTTTTTGATCAAGATCTTTAACTAAACTAGATTGGTATTTTCATTTTTTTCAGGCAGCTCCACGAGCTCGTGCAGTTCGACGAAATCCTGGAATAGCTCGCACATTCCATCCAATAAAGATAGAAAATTAAAGAAAAAAAATTGTGATTGGGATTTGTATTTATCAAAGGAAATTTACTTATTCACATTTACAAAGAATAAATCTTTTTTCTCTAAAAACATTTTTAACTTATTTAAATCCAATGAAAACAAAAATCTATTTAGTTTTCTTTCTTTCTTTTCTTCCTTTAGCTTCTCTTAAGCTTTCTTTACTTCTATACTTCTATTCTTTGTGATTGAGCTAATGGACTTCTTTGATGAGTGGATTGAAAGAGAGAAAGAAGAGAAAGAAGAGAAAGAAGAGAAAGAAGAGAAAGAAGAGAAAGAAGAGAAGGAAGAGAGAGAAGAGAAAGAAGAGAAAGAAGAGAAAGAAGAGAAGGAAGAGAAGGAAGAGAAAGAAGAGAAAGAAGAGAAAGAAGAGAAGGAAGAGAAGGAAGAGAAAGAAGAAAAGGAGTAGTGAAGAGAAGGTGGGAGAGAAATTGGGTATTGGACGATTGGAAATGGGTTTTTTGGACGAGGGCAATAGCTTGAGGTGCTATGGATGAGGGTCTAGAGTCTAAGAAAGATTTCTTTAGGCTTTGGCTTTCAACGAGGCTCAGGGTTGTTTTAAAGGCGATATGTGCATTATGGTGTAATGGTTAGCACACTTGTCCGGAAGCGGAAGGTCCCTGGTTCGAGCCCCAACACGGCTCTTTTTGATCTCCCTATTTCTTTTCTTTTTCTCTTTTCATCCAAGAAATCATCTTTTCGTTATTAAAAGACTTTTATTTTATTTTATTTTATTTTTCAAATCTCAGAGCCAATTTGTTGTGTCTTTCTTATCTAAAACATCAAGAAATCATTTTTTTTCGTTTTTAGAGTGGAAAGAGGTAGAAAATGGGAAAAAAAAGAAAGAAAAGAGCGAAAACAAATGTTTCTCGTTGTTGGGCCCTTTGTTTATAGACTTTTTTAAATTCAAACCGCGATCAGGGCCCAGAAGTGGCTCATTCCTTTTGCAAATTCCCTTTGCTTCCCAATGCCTCTTTATCAAATTCATTTCCCGTTAGAGCCGCTAGATTATGGAACTGTTCCCCAAACGACATACGAGAAATTCAGTCGCTTTTCATATTCAAGAAACGTATCGATGCTTTAGATCTAGTGGCTCTTGCCGTAAGTAATTGGCTTATTGATTTCAGTATGTATTGTATGATTAAGTATCACTGTGCATTTCTCTATGATTTCTTTCACTTTATCGTTTGAATAAAGTATTATTATTATTAGAGTGGAAAGAGGGGTAGAAAATGGGAAAAAAGAAAGAAAAGAGCGAAAAGAAATGTTTCTCGTTGTTGGGGTGGCAAAAATTTGTTATTTTTCTCTCTTTTAAGATCTCAAATAAAGAATTTCCTTCTCTAAATCCTTTTTCAAATTTTTTTTCTCTGTCTTTTCGTCTATTTTTGTCAATCTCTATGCATTTTATTGACAAAATGTGAAAATTTTTCCTTTCTCTGCCATTTCCCATTGATCTGCTGAAAAAAAACCGGTTTTCACATGGTTTTTGAGCAATTTATTGACAATTTTTGGCAATTTTGGCAATTTTTGCAAATTTTTCCCTTTATCGATCAATTTGTGCATAAAAGATTTGATTTTTGACTTAATTTGACGCAAAAGTTTAGTCAAAAGAGTCAAAAAAAGAGTTTCAAGGTCAAATGCCAAACAAAAACCGAAAAAGCGAAAGAACCGAAAACCCGAAATTTCTTCGTCTAACAAGGCTACTAAGCAATTTTTAGCCGTAATCGATCTCTTTTTAAGCGTACTTTTCGTGCTTTTTCTTATCCTTTCATTTGATTTCCCTATTCTCTACAATTGACTCTTTTTATAACATTTTAAACGTTTTTAGCCTTTTTTTTTCTTTCGATTTCTTTCGGTAGACTTTTTTTCTCAAAAACCCGCAAACCCACCCAATCTGGCCCACTGAATTCCTTTGATTTACTTGCAGAAATGATTTGCTAAAAGAAACCCGTACACTGGGAGATTTGTGCTTACAAGTTCTAATCACAAAGTACAGAGCATGCTCTCCATGATGCTCACCGTCCTTTTGCTCACAACTTTGCATAGACTTATCCAATCGAAATGTTTTTATATCAATCAATGCAGGAGATCATTGGCTATCGAATGACAACAAAAGAATACCAATCGGGTAATTCCTATAAAAAGTTATGAAAGATCAAAAGATCCTCCCACTCTACATAGGCTGCTCTAAAGCTGGTTCTCATTGTACAGCCTGTCTAACTTTTTCGACTTATCCAATTCAAAATGTTTTTATATCATTCGACGCGGAGATCATTGGCTATCGAATGACACAAAATTAGATTGATTGGGTAATTCTTTGATAGCTTTCGTCTGTATATAAAAGATTTATGCGTTTTTGGTAATATTTATTGAAAATTGTTGTATTTAACACTTTTTATTGAGAAAAAAAACCAACAACCTTTCAAAAACAACTAAAAAAAGAGTGAAAAAGTCTAAGAAAATCAATTTAGAACAGCCTTTTATAGAAAAAAACGACCGTAAACTAATTGGGACATAATTTCGAAAGGATCAATCAAAAATTTAGTGCATTTTGCGTTCTTTTGACTTCTCATTTTGCTTACATACTTATCGGTCTTTATTGATAATAATCGCTATTGATAACGAATTTATTCATTTTAAAAGGTGAAAATTCCCATTTAATCGCTATTGAACACAGTTATTGATCGAAAAGCGGAAAGGTGTTAAGTTGTTGTAGTTTTTGACGTGTAGCCCAGATTTGACGTAGTCAGTGAGGTCTGATTTGTCGAAATTCGGAATCTACGCATGCGATTCCCTTATATGAAAACATTTTTGAAGCCCTACGGCTTTTGCTAAGGCGTTTTCCAGCGGAAAAAGGTGTTCAAAGGTTCAGGTGCGCAAATGTCCAGGTGCCCAGGTGTCCAGGGTGCACAAATGTACAGGTGCGCAAATGCCCGGTGCGCAAATGTACAGGTGCGCAATGTCCAGGTGCCCAGGTGTCCAGGTGCAGCAATGTACAGGTGCGCAAATGCCCGGTGCGCAAATGTACAGGTGCACAAATGTACGGTGCGCAAAGGTTGCAGGCGCGCGAATGTCTAGATGCGCAAATGTTCAGGTGCCCAGGTGTCCAGGTGCGCAAATGTACAGGTGCCCAGGGTGCCCAGAAAAGGTAGCATTTCTCCTACCCACAGAAAATAGATTCTTTTCGCTTATCACGCTACTTTGGGATGGACCTGATTATCTTTACATTTCGTCACCAAATCACTTAAAAACCCCGAGTATCTTTAAAAGGAGTCGTATATAAGGCGGCTCGGGATTTTTTCCCGCGCCAATCTTTTGCAATAATTTTCGCTAAAAGTACGGTAATTTTTCTCAAAGTTTACGTTTTAAAAACGCATTCTAGTCAAAACAGTGTGACTGCTCAGGAAAGCGAATCTCTAGCCCAAAACTGAGACCTTTGTGGATCCCAATTTGTCCAAGTAGTCTAAATTTCCAGAAAAACAACGTTTCAGAAAGATCTCCTTGACAAAGATCTCTTTCTATTCAAAAACAAAGTCCCATTGTGGTAGAGATCATTTTCAATGAGCTCATCATTTTTTTTTCAATTCCCTGGACTCAACCTTGTCGTTTTTTTCTTTTCATCTTCTTCTTCTTCTTCTTCTTTCTTCTTCTTCCTTTCTTCTTCCTTTCTTCTTTCCCCCTTCTTCTCTTCTTTCTTCTTCTTCTTTCTTCTCTCTTCTTTTGAATAGATGGACCTGATCGAAAAAGAGAAAAAGGCTTCAATGGAGAACTCAAAGAGAAAACCCTTGGTAAAATGAAGAAAAGATGAGCCTTTTTGAACTGAATTTAGCTCTTTCTTTAGCTGAAAACGAGCAAATATTTGAGTAAATAAATTCCGATTTTAATTTTCTTCTTAATTCCTTTCTGTACTTTATACTTTCTTTACATAAGTACAGAGCATGCTCTCCATGATGCTCACCGTCCTTTTGCTCACAACTTTGCATAGACTTATCCAATCAAAATGCATTTTATATCAATCAATGCAAGAGATCATTGGCTATCGAATGACATCAAAAGAATACCAATCGAGTAATTCTATAAAAAGTTATGAAAGATCAAAGATCCTCCACTCTACATAGGGCTGCTCTAAAGCTGGTTCTCGTTGTACAGCCTGTCTAACTTTTCGACTTATCCAATTCAAAAGTTTTTATATCATTCGACGCGGGAGATCATTGGCTAATCGAATGAGATAAAAATTAGATTGATTGGGTAATTCTTTGATAGCTTTCGTCTTTGTGCTTTCTTTACATAAGTACAGAGCATTCTCTCCATGATGCTCACCGTGCTTTTGCTCACAACTTTGCATAGACTTATCCAATCAAAATGCATTTTATATCAATCGATGCAAGAGATCATTGGCTATCGAAT